CTAAATAAATTACTATTTTCTAGGTTATATTCTGTCTAGTTTTTAAAGTCTTTTACTTATCCCTTGAACAAATCTTTATAAAATGTATGTTAGATCAAATTGAAGTCACACTACAAAACTTCAATGTATCCGGCAAAAAAATATAGTTATAATAGTAAAGTGTAGACAGTCTCATTTTATAATATAAAGCGAATTATGATTGTCTATTTAAAATCTTTTTTTAGAATTATCTTGAAACTCAATACAGTAAAATTTAATTAGTTTGATAAAAAATATAACATAAAGAACGTCGTCTTAACTTACCCTTTGAAGTATAATAAATTAATTGTAATAATCTACATTTTGGCTTTTTACTTATGACGTTATAAAATCATGTTATTTTTTATACAATTATGAATGTATCATCAATATAGTTTTAAAAAAATGTAACTGTAATTTAAAGTACATAAAATACATTTTTATTATTTTGATAAGAATAAGCAGAGACTGATTGAACAGTCACATCTTATTCAACACAACTTAATTCCTAAGATAAGTATTTACACCTGTGATTTCTTCTATTAATTTACCGACGTCAATATTTTCCAACAAACAAAGTATCTGTCGTATTTGTAGTTCTCATTACCATGAGTGCCTAATGCCTATGTCTAGTATTTAATTTTTGTTATTCTATATTATTTTCATGTTATTTTATGTCTGCAACTATTCTAATATCAAGCCTTAAAGCAAGGATGGTGTTGTTAGAGGGACACGAAACCGTTCACCATTCTATAGATTCACCTTGCGGGTGCCGAGTCCATCTCAAAATGTAACAATGAAACATAATAAAACCAAATACCTAGACTATAAGGATTTTCAAATATAATTATATTTATCGAAAAGTAGTTACTTTTTATCACATTATTCCGTATTTTATATTGTTATAATTATTAAATTGAGTGCGTTTTAACGGAAGGGTAAAAGAAGCTTCGACATTTCTTAATAGCATAATAGAAACAGTATTAAGTGTTTAGATATATATGTAAACTGTTTATAGGAAGGACACCTGTCTAATACTTAAACGATCATGTTGAAAAATTTCATATCGTCTGAAATATAAGAATTTATAAAAGAAGCACTGAGTTAGCAGCTAGAAATAAAACTAGTATAGAAAATTAATTTAACCGTTTAACTGCCAAAGAAGCAGAATAAAGCTCTTACAGATTTTTTAAAGCAGAAGCTAATAACTTTAAAACTTTGTTTGTATAGAGCCTGTGTTTTTAGGAGGTCCCAAAAAAACTAGTTACGGAAAGTTAAAAGAAAGCGAATTTAACACATTTCGGCTGTCTTTTATCTATTTCTTTTACTATCTATCTATCTTTTTATCTATATGTATTCATTTTAAATCAATCAAACTATGTAACAGGTACTTACTAATACACTTAGCAAAAAAAAGGTTTATTAGAATAAATTTAATAAGTAAGGAATAACTTAATGAGAAAATACAAAACGCACAACAGGGAAAGTGACGTGAACGTCCAGGCTTAAAACGAAATAGTACATCAAGCATGCTTTGATTTCCTTACGTGGTAGGGTTTAAATAATAGATACACAAAAAAAGGTTACTGAATTCAATAAAGAATTGTATGTGGGTTATCTGAAAAACACACACACAATTTATATTTAGAATCTTAAGTTTATTTTCTACTTTATAATATATTCTTATCTCCTTGTATGATTTGTAAATACAGTAAAGTACTGAACACAGAACTGCAACAGTACTGAACACAGAACTGCATTCAAATAAGGAAACTGAAATTTCTCCTAAGCTATTGACTTCTACTTATGACGCACACAATGTGTGCTATGTCTTTAATAGAGCCTTAAGCCAGACATGTTAGTAGTCTGAATATATAATCTTATATTTAATTCCCGCTTTTAAGCCTTCACTAATATAATACCAGAATAAGTACACAATACCCAGTCTAGTTTCTGTATATTTATAAATTAAATATATAAGGTTCTGAATTTAATTAATTCTAATCTATTATCATATTAATTTACCTTGTATTGAAAATAAAGTTACATTTATAATTTATACTTAAAATAATTAGATAGTTTTATAAATATAATAGAACTGTAATATACATACCCCTGCATATTTTAAAGAGACAACAGTTTGTAAGTCATTGCCTGTTTCTGGAAAATTCACTGACGGATGTGTTTTATGAGTTTAACATTAAATTATTCATTTGCTATTGTTTTCATTATAATATGTTATTTTTCTTTTATTGATTGATTGTAAAAAATCTTAATAAAAATATATTATTTTAAACTATCTACTGCTGACGTTTCAGTTACTTTGCATTAACCGTGATCACGGACGGAAAGGATAAAAAATGTTCATTTTAGATCTCAAAGTGCATCCAAAAATATTAGTTCCTGTAAAAGGTTTTTAAAGCTGTATCTGTAAAGTCAATCAGTAATGAAAATTGTTTCCGAGTACAATAAAAATGTATAAGTCATACGATATCAAGACGTGAATGTCCGGAGAACGACTTGTACAAATAAGATTTTCTTTAACAAATATCCAGTACATCAATCGCAATGAAATAAATAGTGCTTGTGTCGAGAAAGTACTAATAAATATTTCCAGATATTTTAGTCCAGTTAATCAGTAAAATATGGTTTTATATAAAGACTAGCTTTTGCCGCGGCTTCGTCCGCGTGGAACCGTTACTTCCGACAGATTTTTGGTTTTTCCCACATACATAGTTCCCGTTCTTGCGGGGTTTTCGGAATGGTCGAGTTCCCGTAGAACTTTCAGGATGAAACCTATGTTTTTTTTTATTAATAATGAAGTACTCTTAACCAACAACATATTTATTTGTTTATATGAATAAAGATTAATATTATTATTTTGATACAACTTAAACAAATTATTTCGACAAAATTAGGTACCATAAAAACGGTTTTTGTGAGTTAATCTTAAAAGAGAGACATATACTGTCGTGGACTGTTTTTTAGATCATTAAAAGAGCTATTATTCTTTGATACATATTTTTTGTGTATCTTGAACCGTTTTCACGGCGCACGCAACGGAAGGCTTCAAAGATGAAATAATTTCTCCCGTTTCTTACACATTTACCACTACATCTTTGCTCCTATTGGTCGTAGTGTGATGTTATATAGCCTACAGCCTTCCTCGATAACTGGACTATCCAACACAAAAAGAATTATTCAATTCAAACCAGTAGTTTCGGAGATTAGCGCTTTCAAACAAACAAACAAACAAACTCTTCAGCTTTATAATATTAGTATAGATATCACGTTCAAATATTGATTCTAAATTTGTGATTAAAGATAGTTATGACGATTAACGAACTCTTGACAATGTCACGCATTATATACGGATCAAGATTTTTCACATATTACATTCTAGTTATCAAATAATGATATTCGTTTTAACTAAACCACACTAATTCTAAAAGTGTACACAAAACGCCGCTGTTTTAATACTTTTCACTTTTCGGACGTTATCGTCGGAATGAAGTAATCGAAGCAGTATAGTGTTTGTTCAAAATCAAAGTTAAAACGTCCCATTCACTAGAACGATACATTTTAAAGTTCCTGAAACGAATTAAATATTGAACAAACGCATATTTTTAAACTATACGGGACTTCTTTCAAACAGGAACAAAATGTATAAAATGTTTATAGGTTACATAAAAAGTACCTTTAAGTTTCTTACATTTATTTCCACGTAGGTATCTATTTACACAGAATCGGTAACAAAATCGTATTTATGTCTCTTATGATTATCGGTTAAAGTATATTTATTTATTTCTTTTATAATATGGCCTTCATCCGTGCAGAAAAGTGCACAGTATATTCTGCCAATGTCGAGTAGATTGGAAGAGACACGATCCGGGATTTACTTTAAAATGAAATAAACTTTAACAGTCCCAGCCAAAGTCACAATAGGGTACTTTGTTAGTAGATCTAAAACAACACAAATATAATTGGATGAAAACTTAGGAGCTATATATACATATAACACATAAACTGTATAAAAAATGTTAAACTAAGACTAATATTCAATAAAAATAAGACAGATTATTACAACTTAATTCTATTAATTTTAATATATTTACATAAAAATTTACTAAAGGAACCAAACACCAATGACAACAGAAATTCGGTATTTATAGGACGGGGAATGTTGACAGGAAGAACATCATACAGGGGATGAAGGAGTTTAGGGCAGCTGAAGAGGAGGTGGGAAACGGAGCCTTCGTCAAGACCACATTCACAAATAGAGTGATCCCTAATTCTAATCTTATGTAAATGTGTAGGAGTACATGCATGACCCAGAAATAATCCATCTAGAGGAAGATTTCTGGGAGAAGAACCAAGGGCGCGTCGGTACATTTATTTGGATATTTGCGTAAAATTTACCTTTAGAATTTGAAGAGGCCCATAAGTCCTGCCAGGATAAGTTTTGATATTTTTTAGCCAAAGGACAGAGGTCTTTTGATGGGATTTTATAGTAAGAAGTTAAACCAGACGAAATAGCTGATTTGGCTAATAGGTCTGCCGTTTCATTACCAGGGATACCAGAGTGACTGGGAATCCATACCAAAGAAACACACAAACCCATTCTGTAACTTGAATACAAGGCTTCCCGAATCATCGAGATGATGGGAGACCTATACTCGGTTAAAGTATAAATGTAGGAGCTAGTACTGACTTGTAAAGAATATAAATGTATATTAATACAGATCCTACGATATATTTACTTGAATGTCAGTGTTCCCATATATGTTATTAAGACAAATAATAGATTTGTTCAATTCTATCGATATATACATTTTTAGCATCTACAAATTATTATTTTTGAAATAAAATTAATAATAATAAAACATTAAATCGTTACGACTTTAGTTTATTAAGTCCTTAATTATTCAAGTATTTTTTAAATATTATTTCACAAATTCATTTTTTATATTAAAATAATAATAATGATGGACACGTATGAAAAACAATATAAAATCCCCGAGGATATTTGTGCGTCGGCCTCCAGACCGGATATATTTTTATTTTCGCGAATTTTAAAGCGCGTAGTGATGATAGACCCTTCGGTCCCTTGGGAAACCAACATCCCCAAAGACCATACCATCAAGGTCAACAAATATTACGAGCTCACAAATGAACTCACTCGAAATAGGTTCGTAGTAGATTTGTACGCGGTAGAGGTGGGAGCGAGAGGTATAACAGCGAAATCTCTCTACAACCTACTAAAGGACTTGGGCTTGTCCAGAACTCACATTAATGCATTCTTGGAACGTACATCGAAGGCAGCCCTAGTAGGTTCCTTTCGAATTTGGTTAGGTAGGGAGAGGAGCTTGGACAGTGGAGGTGAGCGTATAACGCGCGTAAGTTAAGGGGCCCCTTAAACCTACACTTGGGTCGCAAGTCCCAGGCACTGTTGAAGCTCCTCTCCCTGCAATGCGATGGACCCGGCATCCGCACGGTGAATCCATGGAATGCTGAGAAGTTTCGTCTCATCCATGAGCTAAATTTTGCTCAAGCTTCTATTACATTTAAAATAAGTTACAGAAAAAAGAGAAGTGAGATATAAATTAAAGTAATATTATTATGAGCATGAAATATATTTCGTTAGTAAACTTTTTGAGTTAAAGAAACAAAATCTGATACTATATTTCTCGCCTTTATCCACATTTACTAAACATTAACAAGAATTTTATCGGTTTATTTTTATAAGAATTAATTAAATTTACAAGAAAAATTTGTTATTCAGAGCCATTTCTAAATTATTAGACCTCACCTTGAAAGAGAGCCGGAGTATATTTTAATTAAATGAACTGATTACTTCACATACAATCAAGACAGATTTAATTTAGGCACCCTTTAGCTGGGAACGCTCTTGAAAATCAGTTCTATTCTCTTCCCTAAACCTTTTAAGAATTCCTTTTGCATACCATTTAGAAGTAGTATTCAAATATGAACAAAAACTATGGTTTATAAGAATAAGTAAGCTTTTAATAAATTTGTGGTTGTTTTATTGAAAACCACAACGTTATTTAAAGCCACAGAAGCATGTAATCAATGGATACTTACGAGACGGCTACACTCATTATAAGGTTGAATGAATATGAAATTGTGTATCGAAATAAACATTATGAGAATTTGAATAAATATTTTTTGTATTATAGGTCGAATTAATATACGGTGAGGTACGAGTGAGTATAGCTCGAACTATTTTGATACTAACACGTGAAAAATAAGGACTTATAAAGATTTTTCCAATGTTTATGGATAGAAGTTCGGTTCATTTTCTAATTCACAAAACAGTTTAATATTTATGTAGTAAATTATATACATATATGTACTGAAATTGTATCATAAAAGTTTGTAATTTTAACTAAACATATATACATATATATAATTTTATATATTAAATAAAACGTAGGTTGTTTGTTAAATCTCTCTTCCATATACATTAATAGAGACCTACTCCCTCAAACCTATTCCTTAGATAATATTTTTACAAGTAAATAAATAACTCTGAACGAATAAATCAACATCTTTTACTGTTTATGTGTTTAACACGAGTCCAATGTCAATATGATAGGTGGTAGAGCCAAGAGCCAAGCTGTGGTAAGTTACTACAGCTCGAACATGGGTTGGCTCGACCGGGAAAGTACCACCCGCACACACCAATACATACGGTACATAAATAATGTAGTTTTATTTGATACTACATATATGTACGTAAATGAGTTAAGACTTAACAGCAAATAGGTTACGATATGAGTTTGTAATGTATTAATATATTTTCATTATATATTAATTTTAAAATAATATTCTCAACCACAGAACCATATTATTTAAACTGTATATATTTCATTTATTGTAAATAAAAGATAATATTATCAGAACTACCGCAATTCAGTGGTAACTGTAACTGATTATAATTATATCCTACAGGTGACCACCATAAAACAAATTATTTTCTTACAATTAAACAATATATATATATATATAAATATACATGTATGTTTAATGTTTATCTCAATAAAATTAAAATAATAATAAAACACGCATAGTAAACTCAAAACATTAATTTAAATAAAAGTAGTATTTTCACGGAAGTGTTTCACACATCATTCTCTACTTTTAAAGATGTAGTTAGGTTTATTGAAATATTATCTCAGTTAAAACTAAAAGTTAAAGTTTAAAAATATTATGTACCTAAATAAAACATACGAGAAAGCATATTGTTTTTGCGATAAACTACTTCGGCTACATATCGATAAAAAAAGGACTTCCACTAAAACAAAACTATATTTTTAAAAGATATATGTATATTAGGGAGCCTAAAGTAAATATTTAACTCTTAGGTTAAACGGACGTATCATAACATATGTTGTTAAAGATGTCGTGCCTCTGTGGTATTTCAATTAAAAGTTTGAGTAACTTTTCGTTGTCAGAACATTGTGTAAACTAACAAAAAGGTGAAATACGACGCTATAATTAATTTAAAACAACTTTTTTCTCTAAGGATTACACAACAATATCCTTAACTTGTCATTTTTCGGATGGTTCACTTATTGTTGTTTTTTTATCTTATATCATTACATCCATTTATGTATTTTTACTAAGATACAAAGAAAGAATATAAGATATAATTTCGTATTACGAAAACCCTCATTGCATCAAAACGATCAAGACTCCCACTATAATAAATTCCTATTAATTATGTTTGTTTTCTTTCAAGTTAGAGCATATCAAAATTCAACATTCAAAATTTATTCATGCATGTATAGACAAAACAATAAAATTGTTATTAAAATAGTTTTCAAAGCAAAACTAAAATGTTCAAAAACATAGTTCATACCTATTAATTTACATGCAATGAAATAAAAGTTAATACTTTGATTATTTCACAAAATAATTGGTTAATTAATAAAACAAAACAAATTGTAACTTAGTCATATTTTAGTGTTTCAGAAATGTTTCACAATAAATTCTCAGAAGCTGCAGTACGGAATCATTTGTTTAACTATTTTACATGTATATTTTACTGAAATAACGTATCAAAATACTTCGTCACAGTGCTCTGAAAACAACGTTAACTTGGAAACTGTATTAGATCCTTAATTTGGTTGAAATGAAAGTTAACATTTATATTTTCATATATGATTGAAATTTATAAAACTTCCTTTTCTTAAAATCATTATCGTTAAGACTTTCGTTCTTGTTTTATTTAAGTAAATGGAATTCTTACTAAAACGTAATCTAAATTCTTGGATATCGTAACTCACTGGAAATTTTAAATTTACCTTGATGGAAAAGATTCTGTATGCAAGTCTTGTATAATTTTTTTCAAATCATTTTTAACATTGATACTTGTTATTTTAATTTAAAATTACATTCATAATAAATTCCTTCTCGGAACAAGCTATCGTTTTTAGATTATTATATCTTCTTCGTGTTTTCTCTACACAGTACTTAAGATTATAATTCGTGCAATATATTAAAACTTTGACAGTGTAAAAATATTTCACGGTTCCTGTACGAATTGCGTAAAAAAATGTCATATTAAAGTGAAGCTGGATTGTTTCATCGAAAATGAATTTATATTGTTAGCGAGTATGTATTACTTACTTACTTACTTCCAAACACCTTTTTCCTGACTTAACTCTCTTTGATAACAACTATTTGAAGTCTTCAGAGAGTTATTTTAACGGAAATATTTTTATAATTCTTTCAGGAAAACTCGACAGCGTACACATAACACTTACTACTATTTCAAACATTTCATAGCTCTGGATAATTTATCTTTAGTATTTGCTCCTTTATGAAATAGTAAAAATTTTATAGGTTTTTGAGAACAATTCTGATGTTTTAGTGTTATTAGCGTATTTAATTATAGCGATGGCCCCGCAGCCCCACTTTCAATCTATGGAATATAGAGAGATTTCGTCGCAAATGCATATAAGAAACACTAAAGAGTGAACTGAAATACAATTGAAAATTGATATAAAATGATTGCTATCAACTTAACAAACCTTAACTTAAAAAAAATTAACATAATGAAAAAAATATCCTACTTAAACTTTGTAGTAAAAAATAAATAAAACTCACCTTATATGTAGCTGCTTTTCCTAAAGGAATGTTGGCAAACTTAAGTGTTATTTTCAGTATGAAATTTAAAATAATGTAAATAAAACAATTATTGTACTAAAAAGATATTTCATTTCAACTATCTGAATACACTATTGTTTTTTTCCCGTTATAGAGACTGTCTAGTCTATATTTAAACAATTGAATTTTTCCCGATATAAATGTATCACGCGTGCAAAAAGTACGGAGTGTTCCAGAATTTGTCTAAGGTTTTAGAACACTTTACAGGAAAATGAATTAGTGAGTTCTAAAATTAAAAATAGAAAATTACAATAACTTGAAAAAAACTTAAACAAATTATGTAAGCCTTTAGTGTATTATAATTTATTTAAAATGTATTTTTTTTTAAGTTTTAAGAGGTATATATATAGGATCTTTAAAATAATATTTGAACTCAGTTTTAGTATCAATAGAGTCTTTTCATAAAAAAAATAATTTGAAAAATTTACAACACTATTGTTTTAAGACTCACCCAAAATTACAAGAAATCGTAATTTTGGGTGAGGTGAGTGAGTGATTTTGGGTGAGAAAACGTACATTTTAGTATCATTAAACCTCGGTACCTGAATTAAAAGAAATGTCCTAACATGACTTCGAGTTTCCAACAAGATAAATCTTTTACTGTGAAGCCTTTTCTGAAATAGTTTTTTAATCATGTTGTTGGGTTGATTTGCAGCAATTTGCTGCTTCGGCGCGAATTCGAATTTTATTCAAAGTTAAATTTAAAGATTAGCTTTTGTATTGCTAGCTTAATAAAAACATATGAATATGTTATTATTATGTAAGTACATATATTTTATTTACTGTTTATATTTAATTTTCTTTACGTAAAAAACCAGCTCCTTAACTCATTTCTACAGAAAAGGCAATTAGTAAACTTATGTACATTTAAAAATTTACATGGAAACGTAAAATTTTACTTTGAAATTTAGATGGTGAGTTCATTGTATTCATGAGATTCAAAAATGTTACCTACTGTAATTTTAAATAAATAAAACAAAAAGGTCTTGATTTATTATTTTTTTAACAATTAACGATATCTTTGAAATATGTTCAGTTAAGGGGAAATTAAAGGAAAATATTTATAACTACATACTTTATTATAATAGGAATATAAAACTTAATTTTTATCAACATTAATATTATTCAAGAGGAGTATGGAGAGAATATTTGTCTTCAATAATGCCCTGTTTCAGTCAACATTCCAATAAAACTATTATGGCTTAATATTTCA